CAAGAATCATAATTATAATTGTTGTTTCTGTTGCAGTCAAGATGCACCCTCTGCAATGTTGATATTGAGACTGGTTCTGTGATCCCTAATCTCGGTATTTACCGTTTCTTTGTAGTTTTATTATGTTTCAGTTCCACCATCTAACCACAAACTTCCTCAGATAGTGTAGCTTTTTATCTGGTCTTGTTATATCTTTCTGTCTTTGATGCATTTGGCTCCTCGTTACTTTTCTTAAAATTATTTGTGTGACATAATGTGGTTTCAACATTTCCTTCACAGCTCTTAGAGCTGCAGCTGCTGCTGTTAAGCATGAGGATGATCGAAGGTTATTTCGAAATGCCGCTCTTCGAAAGCGGCGGAAAGAAATGGGTGAACCAATGGATCCAATCAGAAGAGTGAACAGGGTATAAAACACAAGTAGCCTGTGATTTTGATGAGACCGACTTTTGTTGAAGTAGCAAATCAGAAAACGTTAATTAATTAATCAGGACACTCTTTCTGACTGAACAAAATGTTAGACTATAAGAATTTAGTTTCTAGTAGACAAATTTATGTATATTAGCACTTGTGTTTCAGGAAAATGGAGATTTTACTTCTACTGATGGACTCCAGCGGGGAGTACAATATCCATTTTCAGTAAATGAGAAAGTTATTATTAAGGTAAACACGGTCTGTTTTACCTATAAATTTTCTTATACTGCTGAATCAGATGGACCAGGGAATTATAAACCACCAATTTCCACAGGGTAACAGGAGAACACCTGAAAAATTTGTTGGGAAAGAAGCTGTAATTACATCTCAGTGTCTCAATGGCTGGTGAGTTATGAAGAATATTTTGTTAATTTGAGTTTAAACTCTCGATATGTTAATGGCGGAAGGCCAAAAATCCGCCGTATAAACACGCCTTTGTGACCTATGACACTAGTGTGACCCATGGTGCCGCAATGGCGGACATATCCCTTCACAAATTTTCGATGGTAGACGGTGCTTCCATCTCTTCCACATCTATGTGTAATAAAACTGTCCCAGATATAGGCTGTGGCTAATCTTCCCCCGCCTTGACTTGTGTACGTCTTTTCTATTAGTATTTTATTAGCTTTTGCCATGTTTTTTATTTATGGTTTGGATGTTTTTTTTTTGTGCATTGCATGGTAGTTGCACTCAAGTATCAACTATATGCACTCTCATACCCCTTAAAGCCATGTGCATTAGGAGCAATACCAAACCAAACACGATCAACAGTCTTTAGTTAAGTCTTGCCTAACCTTGAAAATCTGAAGGCCATCCAGCATGCTTTTCAAATCCTCTTAGCAATCATTCCACTGCAATTATTCTTGCTAAGAAAGACATGTGGCAGTTCCACTTGGAAGCTTATGGATTACTCCTACAACATATCCCTGTAACCGAGGCTCTAGGCTGACAGTAGGAGCAACTTATAATTTATTATGAGCCCAAATGACGCATTCAACAAGTTTTCGACAATAACAATGCATGGGAGATTAAATAAATGTCCAAAAAATGGGCACGCGGGAAAAAAGACCATATGAAAATAATGAAGCACCATAAGATTGAATTGCCTGGGATGTTTGTTCCCATAAGAAATCACACAGCCATGGTAATGGAACCATGCACAGTTTTCTACCCCTTGACCACATGTACTGCCCCAAACATCAAAGTGCATTTTCCAGCTTAAATGGATTACTACTTTTGAAATTGCATTGTATGTTCAAAATAACCCTAGTAAGACATAATCTCTTCTGAATAGTTGGCCAAGGTCCTTCCTATTTTAGGTCATTTTATATGGGATTTAATGTTGGGTGGTAAAGAGCCAACAAGGTGATACTAGACAAGGGAGGGTATGTTTGTTTAAGAGAAAGTTGGGGTAGCTCCTGCTGTAAAAAAAGGCAGATTTTTTTGTCTTAGCTCCTAGGGGATTTGAGTATGTTTTGGAGAAGATCCATAGTAGCATTATAAAGAAGGTTGTAAAGGTAAGCCAATAGATTTTCTAGGTCACACCTATGAAACCGAGACTCGGACTCGGACCCGGACACGGATACGGGACACTACACGGACACGGACACGAGGGCACCACTCATGTAAAAAACATAGGACACGGACACATATATTTTAATAATTTATGAGCACTATTGATGAAGAGTCTAAAATGAGAACTAAAATTTATATTTATTTAAACTCTATTTTCAATCAATCAAAAAAAGACTTAAATTTAGTACTTTCAATTAAGAAAAATCATCTAAAACAAAATGATACAAATCATATCATAGTCACTCCACATTGAAAAAACATGTCTCTAAGTATGGCTCATCCAAAGAGAAGTTATATGTTATAATTAATAACATAACATGAGTCAAACAAAGACAAATAACATATCTAATTAACATATAACATTTTTGTAATTACGTGAAACATAAACAAAAAACAGAGACAATTTACAAATAATATGAGTGAAGCGTCGTTGTCGACGTATGTAATTAACAACGGGAAACAGAAACAAAGACAAATAATAAAGGAAAAAAATGAGTATTGGAAGAGAAAGAGTGGAATATCTGCGGTGGCGATGATGGAATACCGGCGTGCGGCGAAGATGAAAACAAAAAGAGAAGATGAAAAAACAAAGAATACGAGTTGGTTTTATAGTAGAAAAGTGGAATATGAAATGTAATTTTTTTTTTTTAATTTTGAGAATGTGAGAGGTTGGTGTGTCTGTTATTTGAAATAGTGTGTCGTATATGTGTTCGCTGAGTTTCAATTTATTTTTTTCATTGGACACTTCAAAAACGTGTTTGATACGTGTCGTACGCATGTCGGTGTCCGATATGTATCCGGTGCGGGGACACGCCGTCTAATTGGCGCTATGAAGCACAAACTCTGACACCACGACACGGACACAGACACTCTGACACCGATATGTCAAAAACCTAGGACACTGACATCGCTATTATGTCATAGTATTTGAGTTTCATTTATTTATCTAATATCAAAAGAGTTAAAAATATTCTAATCAAAATTAATGTCTTCATTGATAACAATGCTTCGATACATGTTTAACCCTTTTAATCATGCGTGAGATTTGTCTAGAAAATGTATAAAGTGTGTTGATGAAAAGAAAAACACATTTTTTTAAAGAAAATTTGTCAGAATTATCAGACATGTATTGTATGAGTGTCATATGGGTATCAAACACCGATTCAAAATGTGTCGAAACACAAAAAATTAATTTTTAGGGACACTTGTCTGACTTTTCCGATACTTGTTTGACTTTTACGACACGTGTCGTACGAGTGTCATACAAGTGTCGGACACAGTGACACTTACTTTTAGAGGTGTCCGTGCTTCATAGAATTGGTGTGTCGGAGCTTCATAGGGTCACACTCAAACCATCAAGTAAGACGGGGAAACTTGGAGATTGATATATAATAGAACCATTGGAAATTAAAGCACCGTCTTATCCACTCTACCTAGTGAATAAAGATTTGGTTTTTGTTGTTACATTTCCATACCTCCCTTACAGTTAATAACGTCAACTGTAACAAACTAATTGTGTAACTGGCTAAGTTATCTGAGAGGGGATATAGAGATTTTCTATATGCTTGGTATTACCATATCTCATGCTGTAATGATCTCGAGAATCGAGATTAACAAATTGGATAGAAACATGCAATTGGATATAATATTATAGCGGAATTTGATCCATGTAGGCGACTCCACTTAGTTGGGATAAGACTTTGTTGTTGTATGCTGTAATGAGTGCCAGCGAAAACTATAATGACAATAGAAGTGAATAATTTACATATGTAACTATTGTTCCCTCTTTGATTGACTTGATTTTTTTGTATATTCGTAACAAAACAAGCAAGCCCTGGCATAATCAACTCTATATTTTCAACTAGTCAGTGACTCAAAGTGCTGTATAATTTTAACAACACTTTATTTTGTAAAACGTGAGACAATTATGTTCTATTATGATAATTTAGAATATTATTGAGGGCCATAGGTGGGGTTGGCTGTTGATAATGCTTGTTTATTCAATATATTCTACGTGGTTTATTTTCAAACTTTATCTAAGTCTGCTTCTTTGGAATTCTATATAATCTTATTCAATGTCAATCTTTTGTATAGGTATTTGCTCAAGATTATTGGATCTGGAGAGAATGTCCGCCTGCAGTATCGTTCTCTCAGGAAGCTCTTGAACTCACCAGCTATGGAAGACCAGCAGTTGCAGCTAGTTCAAAATAGCAGCTCTTAAAAATAGATTCAATTCGCGATAAAAAAAAAGATTCAATTCAGGTTTTCCTTTTTTCTATTTTAGAAAAGAGAGAAGGAAACTTTTGTAGTCTTGATCCTAAAAACGATTTTATATAGAATTAAGTTACTGAGGAGGCTCCTTATAGCATGTGATAGAGGTTTACATAAGAGGTGATTTTGCTGTTGCTAATGTTGGGTCGGCTTATATTTTATTGTAAAGAAGCAAACAAAGATGAATTATATAACATGTAAATTATATAGCTTGCGATTTTAACCACTATGCAGTTTTATTTGTAGAATGTTGCAAATTTATGACAAAAGCGGTTGAATTGCTTGGCATAGTCCTTGAGCACCTTATAAGAGGATGGCTTTTTTTCTTCATACTTTTATGTTTTATGCTTGCAAAGGATTCAAAGTTTTTGCACCATTCAAGTGATTCTCTCAAAGAATGGTCACTCACATAGGATAGTACAACCATTAATATCCTAGAAATTTAACGTGGATGGATGCTTTTCTTATATCGACTAAAATTTACACCAATATTATAAACTAATAATTACAGAACATGAAGAAGAAAAGACACAGTTGCCTTAAAATGATGCTAACAGAAACATCAGATTCTATATATTTTGTTACTATCCAAGTATAATTGTATAATAAATCCCCAAGTTCAGAAAAAAAGGGCGGTCCTGCTAGCTAGAGACTCCACCTTTGAGATGAATTTTAAGTTCAATCTATTTGTAGATCCATTCGTTTGCTCTTGCACCAGACTCGTCCATATCAATAAAGATGCTTACAGCCTGCATTAAATAACAAAAAATTAGAAAGAAGAATAATAAGATTATCCCAAAAATTAACAACTTTGAATTTAAATTTGGATGGTGCATTCTAAATTGACATTGAAGTACACAGATGAATACTTCAAAGTTCAAGACATCATCTAGACGTGTGCATATATATATGACAAAAGGGCATATTTTTACCTTCCCTATCCGAGGCCGTTCCTTCGACTTTGCTAGGCTGCTCCTAATATGTGAGACGGCTCCCCAGCATTTTAATGAGTTTGCAACATCATCAAGCCTCAAAATATACTCTTCTTCAGTCAATGGAAAAGATCTCTATAACAGTACAAGAAAAATGCAGATAACATACTAAAACAGTATCACGTAGTTAATAGACAATAGCAGTATAAATACTAAACCCCATGGTTTTTATCTTGATTTCTGAAAATTACATTTCAATGCAGAGCAATATATACTTAGTTTCTAATTTCCATGTCTTATCCATAGAAAATACAAAAATGATGAACAAGTGTTTTATTACCTGCTCCATGTACTTCCACATGACATTCATAGCAAGGAGATTTCTTCCCATGAATTCCTAGAATAAATTGTGTAACAGCAAAATAAGGTAAAAGACAGAACATAAAGGAGAACACAGACAATATACTATAGAGATTCCCATGTCAGGTCCTAGGAATATATAAGAACAAACATCACCTATATAACAACCGAACACAAATCTCTCAATAGAGATTCCCTCGTATCTAAAAAATTTCAGGACATGAATCTCTCAACTCATGTAATTCCACTTGTAAGAAACTAACCTTCTTAATCAACTGAACATCATAAGATTTCCCATATTTTTTCCTGATAAGAGTAGCAAGATCAAATCCACTAAACCTCGAATCATCTGTACCAACTATTTTCTCGAGACTTTCTCTGAGAATTTCGCTATTCACCCCTCTAACTTCATCATTACTCTGAGATTTGTTCTTCTCACTCTCATCTGAATCATATGGATCCATATTGTCACTCACTGTACTGGAAAAAACCGGCCTAGGATTTCTGGAACTACGGCGACATTTATGAGCAACATTAGGGAAGTCCAATCCTTTGGAAGGAGAATGATATCCTGAAAATGGAGCCTTATTAATACCACTTCCTTTGTCAAGATGATCCTGAATTTTCAATGGCCAACCACACTGGTTGGTGGACATAATATTCATTGTGTCCTGCACTCAGTTTCATAAACATTGTTAGCAACCAAAAAACTCAGCTACACCTGCTATACTTCTTAAAATTGATTAACCAATTAACAATCATCGAGTTAACTAACCATTCTACTCTAAACATCTTATAATTTTTCCTAACTCAAGGTAAATAATCAATAACTGTGACCTTCCTAAAAAACTATATGAAACATGTTTTATGACAAGTAAACTCAACAAAAAGACACATGTTTAGTTTAGTTATTACCTGTGAAAGACAGAAGCAGAGACAGATTCAGTTGGTGTTTTTTCTTATAAATACTGTTGTTATTGTTTTCTGGGTGAAGAGATTAATAAAATAAGTTCCACTTTAATATAAATATGATGATGAAAAAAAGATTTGAGATAGAGTAGAAAAGAAAAAGATAACAACAATGAACAAGTAGAATAATTGTGGATATTAAAAAATTGTTAGTTGTGGCGTTAAAGCAATGATAACCTCAAGTTCTCGTGTGTTTGTTGTCCCGTAAGCAATGCCAACCACAAGCTGACATGCTCTAAACACTTGTTAGACACACCCTACCCCACCCCCCTTTTTCTTTTCCTTTTTTTTTCTTCCACTTTAGTTATATATTTTTAGGATTAACTATTCGGATGTCCGCCCACGCACATTTATTGATATAGCACACACATTTGTTTTTAAAATTTGCCCTCTTATTTCACTCAAGACATGCCTCTAGAGGTCCCGAACTTGTCCTAGGATGACTAAGAATTGACCAGACAAATTCTCCTCATAAGAATGAATCTCAAACTAGGGTTTCAATTTTAAGCAAGATGTGTGAGTCCCAAGGATCCAAAATATTCTCCATTGTCCTAATATGTCTTCAAGATCATCCATGTCAAATTTCATACATTGAGCAACAAGTTTGCTTAATCAACTCCTGAAATGTCTGAAAATTAACTTTACTAGGTCAAAAGTCAACTGTGGTCCAAATACAGTCAAACTTCAAGATTTTTGGTCAACATCATTATTTTGAAGTAATATTCATCATTTGATCAAGGGTGGTCATGATTCCTCAAAAAATGCTCATAACTTATCAAAAGTAAAAAATGGCAAATTAGAGTTTCTATAGGAAAAGTCAACCAAACTTTGACCAAGCATAACTTTCTCATAATTTATTAGAATGTTTTCCACCAAGGCTCTATTGGAAGATAATTCAATTCTCTACAACTTCTCTTCAGCCCTCAAGTTCAAGAAATGCACCATTGAAAAGATACAAGCTCAGACATTATAGGTCCTTTCAGAAAGTCAACAAAAACACCTTTTGGGCCAAAGCTCCTTACATGAACATGGAAGATCCAATTGAGATGAAAGTAAAAGGTTGTTTAGAGGACATCCTAAGCTCTCCAAAAAATCCAGGAACACTATATTAGGGTTAAAATTGAGAAAGATATGCATTACTAAAGTTGACTAATTTTATGAAAATGCACAAAAGTCAATGTGAGCAACTTGGATTATTTTGAATTAATGGGCGTGGGTTTTGGATCTCAAATACATCCATGGACTTATGCAAGAAATCTAAATCCATTATTTTATTTTTATGGGATTTGTTTTTATTTATTTGAATTTTTATTCATTTAAATCTTAATAAATCAAATAAAATAGTAAAATGATGAATTAAATCAAAAGATTTGTTTTGTGGTCAGATCATGAGCCTAAGATCAGAAAATTGAATCAAAAACTCGTGTAAAGGCTGATTGGAGAGGAATGAGAAAGTTTTGGCTAAAATTAAAAACATAAAATTTCAAATGCAAATCAAATCTTTTCTACACAAATCTTCAAGATTCAATCCATTTTTGTTACCCTAATACATCCAAATATATAAACATAACATTGTCAGACCAAAAAGAGGAGGATTGGCCTCACAAAACAGACATTGAAAACTCCAAATTTTCAAGAAAAAGTATTAATCGGATTTTGAATCACGGAAGGATTCAAGGTGTTCTAAAGCTTGCAATCAACTTTTGGAGGCCTTCTGAAGCTAGCTGCATCACTCCTAAGCGCCAAAGCTCCAAGAATCGTGTCCAATACAGTCACAGTTTTCCTTTCTTTTTTTGAAAATGATTATGGTCTTTTAGTGCATTATAAATGGATTTGGATCATGCATTCTTGCTTGTATGAATGATTAGAACATATTTGAATTGTTAATTTCTTGTTTTGATGAACGTATGACAATATGTCGTTGTTATGGTTTTAATATATGATTTAGGGTTTTTAGATACAAGTAAAATTAGGTCAAAAGAGGAGCACCATCATGCTCGGGAGATCAAACCCAGATGATCCATGGTGTTAAACTGAATTTATATTGCTTGTTGTAGATTTTGAAAATTTGCAGGTGATTTAGTGACAGATATTGTCCGTAGGTAAAGGTCCCTAGGCTAACACGACGGAGGGCTAGGGAAGACGAAGGCGTGGCACAGCCTGGTTGGACAATTTAAAATGGCGCGCATTTTATTTTATAGAAAGAATTTCTGACCATTATTTGGATTATATTGTTTTGTGTTTGTTTCATATAACGAATGACAGGGTGGCTTGGTGGTAAGGGACACACGCGTGAAGTAGAAGACCTGGGTTCGATTCCCAGGTCTTGAACGTTATTTTTTCTAATGAATTTCTTTCAGATCCAATGTACTGCCATCTCATGCATACACCTTGCACCCTCAGATCAAGCCATCAAATCTGCATGGTTCTGGATCCAACGCCTCTAGCACGCAGGCATACCATGGACCTCCCTAACGCAACAACACCAAATCACACGCTAGTTGTGGGCCACCAGTTTCTGGGCTTTGATGAATTTCAGCAGCCTACCCCCAATTGGATTTCTCACCCCCCTCAAGCCCATTTTTCTAGCTTCTTTATTCTAATTTTTTTATTAGTTTATTTTCTTGTTTATTCACCTTTTTTAAATCATAAAAAATCAGAAAATCATAAAAATTAGGATTTAGAGTTTTTCTTAATAAAATTAATTTTTGCAAATTAATTTAATTAAATTTTAATTTTTTTCTTTAATTTAAAATTAGTTAAAAATTAGGTTAAACTTCTAATTTTTTTCATAAGCTACAAAAAATATTTTTAATAAGCAAGTAGATTTTTTAGGATTTAGAATTTATTTCAGTCTTAATTTTTGCGCGTTATTATTTTTCCATACGATTATTTTTTATCATTTATGTAACTGTGTCGGTTTGTAATAGTTAATTAGGGCTTTCAATTAATGCATTTTACTTTTCGTCCATTATTTATGTATCTACACCAAAGCTTTGTAATAGCGTGAGAACTTTTATTTCTCGCTTTTATATTCCTTATATGCTTGTATATAAATTGTTAGTAACTTAGATGTGCATGACAAGATTAAATCAATTAATTATTAGATCACTAACATAAGATAAAATATCTGAAAAAAGCACACTGTCGCACACTTGCACCCTTAGGGTACTCCTCACTTGGTTGCCTCGGAAAATAATGGTCATGTCCCTCGAATGTAGGGATATCTTAGCAAAGACCCTCAATTTTAAAGTCATCATAAAGATCATAGTCCCTTACTGTTCCTCGAGTTGCCTATGAGAAATGATCTTGTCCCTCGATGTTGCCTATATGATGACAGTCCCTTCGAAACGCCAAGGTATCCTTACATGTTGCCTTCAATGACCATAAGCGTCCCTTTCGATAGTCCCTTAACATCCAACGATAGGGCTACCTACTCACTAATAGTAGGATAGCGCTATCTAAAGGTTAGGATGAAAAGAACGACCATTTTGAGTATAAGTAGATAAATTCTTAGATGCTTGCTCAAAATAACTTTTTGCACCTACACAAAAATATTTAAAAAACAACCTTAAAAAACATTCGCCTTATCAACACTCTTGAGGACTGATACAAGAGTTATCACAAAGCGAATCACTGCACTAAGGCATTTTTAAAACACACAAACACGAAAACAGTTTTTAAAATGAGCAAGTACCTAAGAGCCCGTAGAAAACTATGGATGAAAAGGGTGCTAACACCTTCTCTTTCCATAATCTACCCCCTTACTCAGAAAACTCTCGAAAGGTCTTTTTCTGTTTCTTTTCAACCTTTCCTTTGTTGGATAAAAGAAAAGTCGGTGGCGAATTTTGCTTACCGTGACATTTGCGAATAAAAAACGCAAACCAGTATTAATCGTCGGTTCTGCCACCGTATCACAGAACTGGCGACTCTGTTGGGGAGTAATTATAAAGTGAGGTTTACCTTAGGGTCTATATCATTTTGCTTCTTTGTCTGTTTGTTTGCTTTACTTTTAAGGGTATTGTTTGGGTTATTATAGATCCTACACTCGGATATGGGGAAACCTTTTAGGGAAGTAGCAATAGATCGTGGAAACTGTGTGTGATATATCGACACAGTTGAAGCGATGGCTATGTTGATGCGACACTTTGATTGGTATCGTTAGCCTTTGAGTTAATCAAGGAGAATACGGGGCCGCTGTGTGGTGTCATGAAGCGTCAACTGACCTTAGAACCTTTAATTGAACAACTTGGCCATTAGGACGTAGTGAGATGGCCGTCTTTGGTGTATTCCCAAAGTCGGAAAATAATCGATGCTACACTCAATGAGATTTGACTCCCGAGTTTTGTTTGGTTGCGAGTCAGTCGCCTATTAGAATGAAAGTTATGGGAAAGATCATTGATATTGAGATCCCTTAGAACCCTGTTACTATTTATAGGACAAGTTGAACCAATCCAAACTTCAAGAGGGTATTACCTTAAAACCCATGCAAGCCTTAAACCTAAGGGATTTGTGTGATTTGCTTGTGCTTGCTATATATGTTATTTCTTAGCATAATCATGACATCATAACATGGCATATCATACTAACCATTTCAAGGATTTTCTAGGACTTATCTTTGTCTTGTTTTGTAGGACATGACATCCGCTCGCAGGAACACTGTCCAAGTCAACCTTGTGAAAGTACATCCTCAACT